AAAAACAAAAACAAAAACAAAAACAAAAAACATGTGGACTTGAAACACACTTAAAGTGTCCCTGAGCACTGGGTTATCTTCCCTGGGCCCTTGCTCAGCATCAGCAACGATCCCAGGGGTTTGATCCCTAGCAATGGGGAAAAAATGAGCCTTGTATGTCACACTTTTCCTCAAAAACACAGCATTTGGAGACTGGAGAGATGGTTCATCAGTTAAGAACACTGCCTGCTCTTCCAGAGGACCCAGCTTGGACTTCCAGAATCTGCATGTTAGTTGAAAACCATCCACAACTCCAGTTCCAAGGGATCCAATGCCGTCTTATTGCCTTCAGGCATCAGGCACACATGTGGCACACACATGTACATGCAGGCAAAACACACGTGAATTTTTCTTAATTAAAAAAGATAAAAGAAAATAACATTTGTAGGGACAGAAGTCTATCTACTGTCACACATGTATTCAGAAGGGAAGGAAACTGCATTAAGAATAAACCAACTCAAATGAGGCTTTTCATATCTGGTATTGGGATTTTTGTTTGGTGGTTCTTGGCTCTTGAGGAGTGCCATCAGTTCAGATGAGAAAAGTTCATTAAAGCTACATATGTCTATGCATTCACTGAATTACATTTTTTAAAGGTAATAGCTTGTAGTATGATTCCATGTAGTTTTTCAGTCATCCATGTTGTTATTTTACCTCCTTCCCGCCCTTCATCTTCAGCAATGATTGCTCCATTTCCCCAGTACAAATACATAAATTCATGCAGTACAACAGATAAAAAAGAAGCCATGAATTTGAAGGACAGCAGAAAGAAGCATGGGGGGGGGATTGGAGAGAAGAAGGGGAAGGGAGAAATGTTATAATTAAAATACAATCTGAAAAATAAACAAAAAAGACACGCCTTTAATCCCAGCACTCGGGAGGCAGAGACAGTCGGATCTCTGTGAGTTCAAGACCAGCCTGGTCTACAAGAGCTAGTTCCAGGACAGCCTCCAAAGCCACAGGGAAACCCTGTCTCGAAAAACCAAAAAATAACAGAGGAGGAGGAGGAAAGGAAGGAAAGAAGGAAGGAAGGAAGGAAGGGGAAAATGAATCTATAAAAAAGAATAAAGTAAAACCAATTTGCAGTTAAATTCTTCACAGAATGTTCATCTGGTGAAAAGCAATCACCAATCTCATCTGGCTATAGACCCTGGGAACTACATTAATGACCTGCCTGGTAAGGTAGCTCCAACTAGCGGAATAGTGGTACAAGTGTTAAAGGAGTAACCAATCACTTTCTGCTTATATTTAGGGCCCATACCACAAAACAGGACCCATTCTCAACACTGTCAACTAGACCAAGAACTTATGGCTAAATTATGGGCTCTAGAGGAAAACCTAACATTACTCTATTAAATGGACACATAATTAAAACAACTCTTAACGACTTATTGTTACACTGTAAATCAATGCATCTCTCAACCTTTATCAGAGAAGCTTCTTTTTGTGGTAGATGGTGATTACTAGAGGCCTACAACAGAGATTTTAGAGTGCTCAACCCTAAAGGGGATGTTTATATCACACCCCTTCTCCTCAAGGCTCGGGGTCTATGTGGGAGAGCTGAAGAGCCAGAAGTGGAGAGTGACTCGAGGAAGCACACTTTCCAGACATAACGGGGCAATTATACATATGAACGCACAGCAATTGTGACAGCATGCACAACACCTGTGCTAGCTCAAGCCATCAAAATGCCAGCATGGGGGAGAGGGGTGGATACAAAGCCCCACCCCTAGCTAAGAAGCTATTGGTATTGGTTGCTGCTTGGAGAAGGAAAGTCAGATTTCTTTACAGATATGACATCTGGTTTATCAACCACACTCCAGGGCAGGTCATAACACAAATTGGGTTTCATGGTGGAGGATGGGGAGAGGGAGAAGGAGAGGAAGGAAGAAGTTGGGTGGAGAAGGTGGGAGATCTGGGAGCAGCTGTATGATATTCTCAGAGCATTAATAATAATAATTTAAAAACCCTCCAGAGCTCCTATGAGCGATGCCCACAGAAACCTACTCCCCTGCTAGGTATCATCTCAATCCCAGCTATCCACCACAGAACCTACCGCTTGCTTTGGCTTCTGAGTAGGAGGGGCCGTCCTCAAAGGTGAAGATCTGGGACATGCTCTGGCCCAGGTAGGAGGGAGGCCCGTAGTACGAGTGCATCCTGTACTGGGAGCTCACCGGGTGGCGGCTCTCTGCGCTCTTCATCTGCTTAAGAAAAATCAAAGAACAACTTTGTATGGTTTGAATATGAAGTGTTTCCCACAGGATCACATGCCCAAGGCCTGGTCCCCATCTCATGACACTAACTTTAGAAAATCTGGGAATACTAGGAGATGCGACCTAACTGGAGGCAGTAGGCTACTGGAGGGGGGGCAGACTTTAGAGGACAGTTTGTCTTTTACCCCTCCAGTGTCTGTCTGTCTTTTCTTCCTGGGCCACACAAGATGAGCTGCTTTTGCTCTCCATACCTCAATACCTCCATACCTCAATTTCGGCATATCACAGAAACTCTGCACCTTATATATCGAGGTAGGGTCTTGCACTTAAACCCAGAGTTCACCAATTCAGCTACTCCAACTGGCCAGCTTGCTCCAGGGACCTGATCTCCACCTCTTGACAACTGCAAGTGGGTGCCTAGGCCTGCCCCGTATTTATACAGATGCTGGGCATCTGAACGCTGAGCCTCACGCTTGCATGGCAAGCACTTTACCCACTGAGCCGTATTTTCAGTCTGTCTAAGATTGAAATGGGGTTGTTGTGGATTCCGTAAGTGCTTCAGCAGAACTCCAGCACCCTTCAAACTAATGCTGCAGGCTTCCCAAGAGCCAGTTACACAGTCTGAAAAATGAGCACTGGCGTAACAGTCAGGGGCCAACTTTAAGCACAGATGCCCATGTGAATAATGGGTTCCCCGCTCTGGGGGCTGAGTTAGTCACCTCTCCCTCGGGTTTGACCACATCTACAAGTCAGTTCTTCAAGGAAAATAGTTCTTGGTATCTCCTGTGCACAAAGCAATAGGACTTGAGCCCACAAGCCCTGAAAAATGCTGCATTTTTCCTTTTGCTATGGAAATACATACAGATACTGAAATAGTTAATATTCACCATGACTTCAGAGCAATAGTCAGCAAGCATTTTACTATAAATGGCCAGATAGTAACTAATGGAGGGTTTACCATGGTGTCTCTAGGCAACAGCAAATGAATGGGCATGGCTGTGTCCCAATAAATCTTTATTTATAAACATGTGGATGAGTTGTCAATCTTAATTCTCACTGCAATAAAGGAAGAAGCTGATGCCTTGCTTCCACCTCTTGAAAATGTAATTCAACTGGTCTGGCACGTGGCCTGGACCCTGGGTCTTTCCAAAGCTCCCTAGGTAATTCTAACATGCCATCAAGACTCTAAAATTACCAATATGTATCATACACCAGAGAAGAACAAGATCTCGTGTATTTTAAAAAGTCCAAAAGGTCAAGTCTGACAAGAAGATTGGCCAACAGCTGCCATCACAGCATGCACACTGCCCAGAAAGCTATGCCAACAAATGGTATTCTTTCAAACAGCTCACTGGAAAATAAGCACTGTTTCAAAACATACATGTGCTTATTGCCCCCATTTAATTATTTATCTTTCCAGAAAGCATCAAAAGCTGTGATTACCTAGAACTTGGAATTGAGTTATTTGTTTCAATTACTGTTTCCCCAGTGACTCCCTGAGACAACAGAAGACTTCCAGCAAAAGAAGGGGGGGGTTACAAAAGGCCAAACTCCATTTGAGGTTATTAAAATGTTAGTTTACTGAGGTCATCAATCACCTCAGCTACATCCAAATCGAAGAATAATGTGATTTGGGGCTGGGGTGGTAGCTCAACCATCAGGGGCTAAACTCAGAAAACGGAGGACCACTACAGTAACCATCTACTGGCAAACCTGCACAAGAGGAAGAATACAGAGCATTCTTAAACACGAAGTTAAAACTGAGTTGATGTTCACCCCAGAAAGCCTGGGAGTAAGTCCAGGTCACTTCCTGTCCCCTTCTAATTTGAGATAAACAAGATAGACAGCTGATGATACACAGACAACACAGTCCTGCCACTCTGGCCTTAGACAAGATAATAAAGCCTTTGAAATTTATTTGATCGTAAAGCAGCAGTTTTCATTTGGGGACAAGCTTGTCCTTATGGAGAGATTGATATATGGAAACTTGTTCAGTTGTCATACCTGAAAGCAAAGAGAGTTGCTACTGGCATCGAAAGGTCAGCAACCTGCTGTACTCTCACAGGGCCCACAGCAGTTCCCCTGACAACCAAGCACCCACCCCAACACCACAACTATGCCAAGGTTGGGAGACCTCTTTCAAACTAATCTGATACCCTGAAGGCCCTGTCCTCACTTTTCGGTGAAAGACAAACCATAGTGGCAAATGGAGGAACTGTTCCAGTCTGTCTGTCTGTCCGTCTGTCTGTCTCTCTCTCTCTCCTCTGTTATTCAATACTAACTTGTTTCTTTGAAAATTTTTTTTTTTCGAGACAGGGTTCCTCTGTGTAGCTTTGGAGCCTATCCTGTCGCTCTGGAGACCAGGCTGGCCTCTAACTCAGAGATCCGCCTGTCTCTGCCTCCCGAGTGCTGGGATTAAAGGCGTGCGCCACCAACGACCGGCTTGAAATTTTTTTGTTCCTTTATATTAAACAAATAAACAAATGAGGCAAAACCTAAAAAATCCGAGATTCCAGTGAATTATGTCTGCTATTATTATTAGCATGTGGTGGCTGGCAAGCAAGAGACATGTTTTATAATCTTATTATCCACCCCAGTCTCTGAACTGCAGTGTGACCCACACAGGCAGCAAATGCACGCGCTGTTAGCATTCAATCCAGATGAAACCTTGAAGCTTGGGGTTTTGTTTTACTGAACTGTTGAGAAAATGCATGGCAATAAATCTGAGTCACGGCCCCCTTTCCTGCACCCTAACCCACCCTGTCTCTGGCAACAGTAACATCCCAGGGCAGCTCAAGAGTGCCCGACCTCATGGCCTCCTTTCTAAAAGTTCTTGAATCCTATCTGCCTCCTGTCTAGTGAGGCTTCAGGTAGAAGTGCCTGATCTTAGAGAAAGCTGACCTTCCTCGGGGGAAAGGCTCAAGAGGCACACTTTGACTGTTTGTAAGTTAGCTCACAGGTAAGTTAAAGAGAACAGTGTTCCCAGAATCCTCCACAGGACAACACAACTAACTGCAGGAATTACCAGACCCTGATACTCACTTGGATTACTATCTTTCAAGCTCTGTCTGGGGTGAACCTTTAGTTTTCTGATCAGAAACACTCTTCACAGACTGGAACCTCAGGTCTCCAGGGCACACAGAGTAAAGGCTGGGATTACCATCTGCCATCCTTAAAACGATTTCATTGGTTTGCGATGCCCATTCCCAGGTTCACCTAGCCATCCACTTGAGCCAGGGAAGACCTCATCTGGGCAGGGCTCTTCATCAGAGCCCCGTTCACCCACCAAGACATACACTTGCTCATCTCCCACACTGCGAGCTGCCCTTTGTGAAGACTTCTTTTTAGTGTACAGGCTAAGTGCCTGCTATTACACACACATCTCAGAGAAAACAGGCCAGAGATCAAATGCCAAGTCCTGTGATGGTGGCACATTCCCCTTGGCTGTGACCCAAGGCTTCCTGCTGCCTGTCTCCATCTAGTCTCCAGAGCCTCTGAGCTTGTAACCCTCCTCACTCTGGGGAGAGGAGGAGGGAAGGGGAGGGGAAGGGAGGGGAGGGGAGGTCTTTGGCAGGACTCAGGTGCCTGTGAGGGAACTCAGGATCTTTCAGAACAGGATGGGGGAGGATGCCCACCATGAGGACTGCCCTCAAGATACTGAAGAACGCAAAAGCTGTTTGTCTTTGTCCAGACACAGAAAAGATGCTCTTCCTCTCCTGGGGGTGGGGGAAGGGGAAGGGGAAGAGACCAGCAGAAAGCAAACAATTTAAGAACCAATACATCTAAGCCATCTTAGACTATAAAGCCCAAGCTTACCAAAGCAATAGCAACAGAAAGAAACATGCTAAAACAAGAAAACTCATGTAGATGGGGCTTTTCCAGCAGAAATGAAGAAAGGAGTTTATCTCAGTAAATTCAAGAAATGAGAAAAACAGCCATAGTATGCACCAGGGCAAAGTAAGCAGGTCATGTGGAAACACAGACCCAAAGCTGACGGTGGAAGCACTCTGCAAGCCTTCCCCCAGGTCTCCAAAGCCTGGAGCACATGGACACTGATTCATCAGCCCTGAGTAGCTGGTAGAAACCCTCTTCTTCCACCACATATGGGACTTAGGATCATATGTGGACCTGGGTGGTCTACGGTGTTTGCCTTCACCATAAAAGCAATTAATCTGTGGATATTGCTAACTTAAAAACCCAAATGCACACTTTCAGCCATGTTGCTCAGTGTTCTCACTATCGTCATCACTGGCACCGACTTTTCTTAAGACTGTGTTTTCATCACAAGCCCCGAAATAATCCAGTCACCATCCACACACAATTTGGAGAGCTTAAACAGGAGAGTCAGAAAGATCAACAAGACCAGAGGAAAACAAAATAATGCCAAATCTTCGTGAGCAGCGTATGCACAGTGGGTGGAAGCACTTGCTGTGAGCATCTGTGTGCACAAATGCACACTGGGGGCCTCAGTCTAAAGACCTCGAGACACCAATGCTGTTAATCAGGTAAAGGGGAACAATTACCTTCAAAAACCTAGCTAGAAAAAGTGAAGCAGAATCTAAAATGTTCCCTTTCCCAGGGAACTGGAAGGTCTTGGTATATTCCAGGGGGTTAATGAAAGAGAGGGTGGGGTGTCTGGAACAATCTCTAGTTAGGACTACTTTAGGCTCATTATCATCTTTGCAAATTCTACAAGGAATCGTCTGGGCTCTTGAGGCAAGACCTTGTGTTTGTATAATTCACAATCTAAGCTAACCAGGACTGGGGAGGTGGCTCAGGTCAAGGCGCATGCTGCACAACCAGGACCTGAGTTTAAATCCCACAAACAAATCAGCCAGGAGTGGTTACCAGTATACCTGTAACCCCAGTGCTGGCAGGAGTGGTTACCAGTATACCTGTAACCCCAGGACTGGCAGGGGAATGGGGAAGAGCAGAGACAGGGGGACTGATGGGACATGTTGTACATTCCAGACTGAGTGAGAGACTTCGTT